ATGGCAGTGGACTGACTTCTACAGCTAGACTATTAAGAAATGTGCCCATAGGCATCTTAACAAATCCACAGCAAAGGCAGTTTCTTCTTTTGGAAGCAGAATTACTGCAATCTACAATGTCAGATACCTTGCTTTTAAAGTCTTTTTCATATGAATGTGCTTAGTAATAAAAATAGAGCTAAATTACATAGTCACTCTTGCTTGCCCAGCTAGAATATATGAATATTAATCCAGCTTTAAGCAAGGCTGTTCAGTACCTCCTCTTGAGCCACTCATGTGAAAACACTGGAAATTCAAAGACTACAAGTGTCTGAACCAAATGTTCCAAGCCCTCTTCTTGCAGGTGCTGCAGCCTGCCTTTACTGCTTCCTCTACTGAAAGAGTAAGTTTACTAAATATTTTTGCAAGAGATTTGTGGGACATGGTATTTCTCTCTTAGAAAGATAATATCCTTGAAAAAGAATCTCCTACCTAAAACACATATTTTCTACGAACTGCTTGATGTCAGAACTCTTCAGACTAGAAGAGCAAACAGCATAAAACCCAACCAAAGGCTCTGCCAAAACTTCCTAAACCTTTGGAAAAGATTCAACTATTTAAAGTCCAGTTTATATAAAGGATTTTTTCCATTAAAAGTAATAAGCAAAACTGTTCTTATTAGTTACATATGCTTACTTGTATGCACACACACAAACAGATAAAATCCCCTTTGTTATATTAAGCTATTAAAACACAAATAAAAGCAACACAAGCTGGCTGCTTAATGATGAATTTCGTCTTCACCATTAACCTGAGATCATAATTCAACATTAGTGATCACATAGTTTGCTTCCTGTAAAGCAGCTCTCGATACAACGTTCACCTTAAATTTTGCATACAAGTGTTAAAACTCACTATCAGATCTACTGAATTAAAGATAGCACTGTGGAAATAAGTAAAGAAAATATTGCAAAAATAAAGACCTTCATCTTCTACATCAGCAAATGAAAAGCAGAATGCTTGGCCACTACAAACTCAGAGTTGGTCCTCTGGCTTCAAGTCTACTTTTGCTGTCACTGAGCAGTATATATATACACACTCAAAGGAAATAAAGAGCACTGCTTATCCATACAGCCACATTCAATTGAACTATTGCAACCCAGGTGAGAAGGAATAAAACAGCAAAGCACTGCCTCAGACCTAGAGCTAGCTTTATCATCCAAACAAAAAACTTCATATAACTATACTTTCAAACACAAGCCTTCTGTCTTCACTTTCAAAGTCCTTCATAACCTGTCTTGCATACCCTATCTACCATCTTAATCATTTCCCAGTCAAGTTCAATTTCTGCTTTCAGCATTCTTTGATGGCAGTCTCTACTGATTGTCAGATAAGAATATGTCTGCTATTCCGACAGTCATGCTTGTGAGCTGTTTTCCATTGTTTCCACAAAGTTATTTCACTCCTTCAAAACTTTCTTTGTAATATCTCATAAAAGGAACAATGCTTAATTGTCTGTATGCTGACCCAAACAACTATTTGGCTTCCCTATGCCCCTGTGAGCACTTGTATCTAACAGTCTTCCATGATTC